GCGCGACCTCAGCCAATGTCTTTGGCAAGTATTTGTCTTTACACCCAACCTGCTGCACTCTACTGCTCACGACTTCTCACTAGAACCAACACTTGAATATTATGTAGTTCCTTGATTGATTCCGTATTTTGGTTTGACCACCACTAGCAGCTCTTTTCCAACCTGAGTGATCCTATGTCTGCTAACATTGCCCATCGAGAAAGGCGGTAGCTAGACATGCATACGTAACACATGTCCTAACCATCTCAACCAGTGTAACTTCACAACCTCGCGATTGATCTCCCCTTCCTTAACTAGCACTTCACGCCTAGCCTCCGTATTGCCCACCTTATTATACCACTTCACACGGAAGACAGAACACAGGCACCTTTGATCAAAGACAACTAGTCTTTTCATGTCTTCAACTTTCAATGGCTATGTCTCACAGCCGTAAAGGAGGACAGAGCGGACTTCTGAGCAGTACACACTCCCTTTGGTCGATAGCCGGATATCACGTCTACACCAGAAGTGGCGTAGACTGGCAAATGCCAAATGAACCTTCTGTATCCGTGCTGAGATTTCGTCAACGATCAATGGCACTGGCTGATGCAACTTCCCAAATAAGTGAAGTGATCAACACGCTCAGCCACTTCACTTCTGCCTATCTTTAAGCTACGAGTCAATGGGGTCCAGTCTTGTAGCATCATCTTGCATTTGACAGGAAAGAAGCGCATGCCAAACATTCGCAGATTGCAACTAAAGGTGTTCAGACGATTCTGCATGATGTCAGTGTACTCACGTAGAAGGACTATATTGTCTGCATATTCTAAGTCAACAAGATTATTCCCTGATAGCAAGTCAATCCCTGAGTGGCTGAAGTCATGTTTGGGCTGAGTCCATTAATATATCTATGATGAAATTAAACAGGAATGGAGACATTGGGAATCTCTGATAGATACCACTGGTTGTCACCACTTCAGATGCCAACTCTGTAGGCTAGGTGAGAGCCTACGAGGAGTTGTGAGCAAGGTTCACTACTACCAATCGCCCGATTGCTCAGGTTCAAGTACGAGAGGCTAGATTCCAACCTGGTTCACACTCCCTAGAAGTCGTGTATTTAGGTTACTGACTCACATTCCCACAGACAAAAGAGTAAACACTCTAGGGTACATCACCTTGATAGATAGTTTTTATGAAAATCAAAATTCTCACGAAAACCACGGGGATACGCTGACCTACCTTTCAATGTGAAACAATCGCCAATCCTCGGAAAGTAAGTCTAAATGTCAACCTTAAATTAACCAAGTTATTTGGAAAATCATCAAAAACTAAGAATCACAAGACAGTTGTCTTATTCCGACTTGGGACTCTTCACCGGTGTATAGGTAATCATCATTCAAACGCTGGGACCCGATCTAGTGGCCTATATCAGCTCGTGATCAAACCTAAGATTTCATATTAGTTAATCTAGACACGTTATACTGTCATTCAAACAACCTACACTACTAATTTTGAAAAGTGCTACAACCCAGTCACGATAAGGCTAAATAACAATTGAAGATTAGCTTGTATTTTTACTTGAAGTCCTCTGTTTTCGCATCAAATCATATTCATGCATAAAGACTTCTATCTCATCAAGAAATTTGTGAGCATCATCGTCATTGTCTCTCTCATCTAGGATTGCAAGATACTACCTAGTCATCTTACACTAAGTCGGTCCCCATTCGGACACTGGAGTTATTTCGAAGGGTAACACAAAAACCAAAGGGAGGGAGAATGCTTAGTCAGTAGTTGACGCCAGACGACTTTCAAAAACCATCAGAGGAATATTTTGTAAAAGACAAAAAATAAGCGAGAAAATCTCCAAAAAAAAGCTGTACTGTAATTACCCCTCAGAACACAAGACTGGAATGTTGGAGGGAAGACTAAGGATATATGAAGTAACTGGTCCACAACCGCATTCAACTTTCCCATCAGCGAACACCTACCTAAATTGGATATCTTTTGACTGCAAATGCAGTTTACGAGGCTGTCTCCAATCTAAGATGAAGAAAGGCAGCAGGACCCCATGAATAAATTCAGATGTGTTCAAGGTCCGTGGCGAAGAACTGCCTGGGTTGACTAAGATATTAGGTAATGTCTGGGAATCGGAAAGTTTCATCAGACTGGTGCAAATCATTGACTATCTCAGTTTATAAGACGGGAGACAAGTCCCCCTGTGATAATCATAGGTGGATAAGCTTTACAAATACAGCATCTAAGACTCCCGTTTGAATAATTAGGCGTGGATTACACGGTACCCAGAATCAACAAATCCTGGCTTTAAGGCCAGGATGGGGTGTATGGATCACATCCTCACCCTCCCACAGATTCTGAAACAGATACACCAGCGGCCAACACTCATCATATTTCTTGACCCGAGGGCAGCGTTCGTCTCCCTTGCCCGAGAGGTGGTAGACAATGTTTCGACTTTAAAGGAGTGACGCGGAGACATATCTCGCTACACAAGTGTTGGTTTGTAGGGATTTGATTGGTTACAGGATTTCATCATGAGCTGGCATCTCACACTAATTAAGACATTTGAACTCACGCAGCTGTGTAAAAGCTCACAGAGATCTGTCTCTTGAAGTAGTAAACACGAGTGGTGCTCATCAGCGATACTGACAGTCCCCGAATTTGATTGATCTCACCACAGATGTACTAATGAGTATGACCGTAATCGACTTTAGCGTCTTAGAGATCGAATTGTTACGCAGGAACAGTGTCGTCCACTTATTATCTTATTGACATAAAGATGTTAAAAAATGTAAAGCCTGAAGAGAAAAGCTTGTTTTACTCAGTCTCAGTGACTATATTAATTAATTATCTTTCTTCCATATACTAAGTCTTGTTGACTTAAAATATGCAAATGATATAGTTACGTCCCCAACTAGATCGAGACACCGAGTCCTTATTTAAGGAAGAAATAGCGAAACGAGTTTCTGAGGTCGACAGCAGGACTTCCCTGAGGTAGCCTGGTACAACATACAGTTAGCTGTAGACACAGCTGTGAAAGCTGTTAATAAGCTAAAAGCAAAAGTTAGTAAAATCCATTGGATCTCTACCGCCTCATCCGAACTGATTGACGCAAGAAGACTGACTCCAGAGAGCTCCGATTATGATGAGGGACGAAAGGTACTCAAACGAAAACTAACAAAAAGCCTTTGCAACGACCGTGAACAGTGGTGGGCGACAAAAGCGAAAGAGATGGAAAAGGCATCGGCGATTGGCAACACCAGACAACTATTTAGGCTTATCAGGGAAACAGGTGGCAAAAGACAAATGATAAGTGAAACAATCTCGGAGAAAAATGGCACCATAATTAGTTCCCAGGATAGACGACTGGAACACTGGAAAGAGCACTATGAGGAGCAGTTCAATTGGCCTACAGCCAAGCTTAACCTGACGAACATCCAATACCTCCCTGAATGGGATATAGACACAGGTCCTCCATCCCTAACTGAGATTACTAAAGCTGTCACCAATCTGAAACTAGGCAAAGCAGCGGGACCTGATGGAATGACTCCAGAGGTATTTAAGTACGATGGAGACAGTTTACTGTCTGCATTAACTGAGGTTCTAGGCAGCGTCTGGGAATCAGAGGAAGTCCCATCGGGTTGGTGTAAGTCACTGATTATCCCCACATACAAGAAGGGAGACAAGTCTTCCTGTGATAATCACAGAGGGATTAGCTTGACTAATATATATGCAAGATGATGTTACAGGACTGGACTACGCCGACTCCCAGATTAGAAATAGGAAGTGAAGTGGTATAGCAAGTTGACCGCTTCACTTATTTGGGAAGTACCATCAGCCAGTGCCAACGGGTTGATCTCTGACGAAATCTCAGCACGAATACAGGGGGCTCGTTTCGCATTTGCCAGTTTACTCCGTCTCTGGTGTAGACGTGTTATCCGACTATCGACCAAAGGGCGGGTGTACTGCTCATCAGTCCGCTCCGTCCTCCTTTATGGCTGTGAGCGAAACCTGGCCATTGAGAGTGGAAGACATGAAAAGATTAGCTGTCTTTGATCATAGGTGCCTGCGTTCTATCACCCGTGTGAAGTGGCATAATAAAGTGAGCAATATTGAGGTTAGCCGTCGAGTGCTAGGTAAGGAGGGGAAACCAATCAACAAGGCTGTGTAATTACATCGACTGAGATGGTTAGGACATGTGTTAGGCATGCCTGGTCATCTCCTTCCTCCACCGGCAATGTTAGCTGACATAGGGTCAGGCTGGAAAAGAGCTAGCGGAGGTCAAACAAAAACATGGCACGAGTCAATGAAATCCACAACAATTAGTCTAAGCCACGTAGGAAGGTGTACACTTCCTGACTGGTTGCGGTCCTCGGACGGTAAAAAACAAATGGCTGGAAACAATTAGTGACATGGCTCAAATGGTTCTCAATGCTGGTGCAGATGCATCCACTCTTTATGACTTATGATTTCCAATGAAACTGTTTTGTTCTTCGTTATTGCTATTCCTTTGTCTCACACCTCTGTTTACTGTCTCTATTATGCATTTCTTCTACTTTCTTCTCTTGATTTGTGTGCTACAAGAAGGGAGTGTGGCGACTTGAACTTCCGCACATTTGTGCAAAGTTCTATGTCGAAAACAGACAGACAGATGATATAGTACTCCTAGGTGAAGACGTTAAGATGCAGAATCTTTTGAAAACTTTGAGCAGAAATCTTAGGATGTTTCGCATGAAATTTGCTTCTTTCACTTGTAAGATGACATAGCAGAACTAATCAGAACTGCCTCCTAGTTTAAAGCTGGTGGGTGAATTAGCTGAGCTTGTTCACCATCTCACTTATGTCGGAAGTTGCCTCAAAAATATATGCATAAATTGAACTGCAGCCAATTGGGTATACCAGATAAACAGTAAGAGTAGTGTAGACATACGACAATAGATTTTCTGTTCAACATGTATGTAACTACATAAAAGGAAAAGAACAAGTGGCAGTGATGAAATTCTTACCTTTCTTTGTCTGATTTCTTAAGTTCCTTTGCTGCATCTTGCCGAGAACGGGTGTCAGTGACACGCACGACAGAGGAGGCAACAGAGACCTACAGAAATAAAGTTAGTGATGTCAAAAAATAGTTTTATTACAGGAATCACATGATTATAGAAGATCAGGTACTAGGTTTTTGATCAACTCTAGCACAGTTAGTGAATAATGCTGTGTTAAATAAGTCAACTATGAAACTACAGAAATCTAGACACAACTACTAGAAGGTTGGTGGATTCACCACAGTACCGTATAGGATTCTGTGATACGCTATTTACAGAGTAAATACTCCATCCTACATAGCCATCGCACATGTTAATCATCATTCTCTCTACCTATTTCCGAAGAAAGCTTAAAATGAGAGAAGGAATTTGGTACAAACAGTAATTTCAGTATTCTAAAACAAATATCTGCGATTGAAGACAGTCACAGATGGAGTTATTTTGTGCTGAACTTGATAAACTAAGTTAAAAATCAGACAGACAAAAGCAGGGTCTGAATGAGCTTCAGAATAATAAAACACAAGTTAATTTAAGCGAAGTTGAGAAACCGTGTAAACGGTTAAATGGAAATAATAATATATACCTCCCTCGGATAATGAACTATTTTTCTGAATTGTTATTAACTACTGATGTTCTTGAATCTCCTAAATAGAGGAAGTCATGCATGGTGTCTCCATTACTACAATTCATCTCACTTTTAGCACATTTACTCGCAGTGATTAGCACAGAGTGGGAAGGATTGTCACTCGCCGAACACATTTATTTGCTTTCTTTAACCTAACAGATAATCACCTACCTTCAACACCGTTATTTTATGATAGTGAATGTAAAATAAAGCTTCATAATAACGAGAATACCAAATAAAACGTTTGTCAAATCCAAATTGCAGGCAATCACAGTAGTCAGTTTGTCTACATGGAGTTCAGGAGACAACTTAAATGTGCTTTCCTTATCAGACCGACTATTTTACTTAGACATTGAGATTACAATGCGTATATGCCTAAATTGATCTGTACTCCAAAATGCGAATTTTGTGTGACATTTAAGAGACAGAAATAATGTTCTACTATGTCGAGTTCCTACTAATAAACGTTTCTCAAGAAGTTAAGATCACCCCAGCTGCCATAATTTTTGTAACATCAGTTTACGAAGACAGTGACGAAAGTGAGTAGGGCTTTGTTTCCGGAAGTATGCAGAGAGTATTTTTCAAATGCTAACGTTTCCAAGTAAAGTGGATGATTTAAAAATGGGTTGTCATAATGTTTTGATATATCGTGCACAAAAAGTTTAAAACCGACAAATAAAAGCTAAGAGGCAAGTTGAAATTTTTGAATCCCGTCAGTTCCTTCGCAATCTCTGGTCTAATATTGTGCATCGTAAGTTTAAAAAAGAAAAAAATAACTTCTGTAACATAATGAAGGGTTAAAAGTACGCCTGACTTATTTGAGTTTAATAAAAGAGATTCAGAATGGTCAAAGAGTACTAATCCTAGATCATTTTGATGAATAATAGATTCAACATTAAGACATAGGACTTGATTGTTTGGTATTAGTGTGTACTTTTCAACAAATGCGTATATTTTCAAACCATGGACAAAAGTGGCTTTCGAACACCTTTAAAGAATATGTCATCTGTTATAGAAGTTTTTGATGATAATGACAGCATACTAGGTAATGAACAACAGGCACACTATCTGAACTTCACTCAACTCAAATACATTTCTAAATATTAAGCTGATTCGCAAATAATTGCTTACACACTAGTCTAAACACAACTTAAAGGATTTGTTCTGCAGCTGCTTTACACGTACTTGCACTAATCTTGTAGGACAAAAACAACCCCTATGTTTTTTTCAAAATTTTAATGTAAAAACATTGCCAGCGTGGATCTCCAAAACTAATTATCAATAAAACATCGTCAGTCTGCCGACTTTTTCGAGCTGAGCAGACTCTGAACCACTGTTATCTTTTAAGACATGGCAGGAATTATATAGAACCATATCCACTAGTTTTTTTATGAACTTCAATTAGCAGTTAACTAATTTCGAGAGTGGGATAGGTTCGGAAGACGACGCCTTCAGTGTTATTTATCTAAATGGAGGTAGTGCAAATCAGAATAAAGCTCTTTAGCTAATAGTAAAGACCGCTATATGTTTTAAAACGACGCTTACAACAGAATAGATATATACAGACAAGTCTCTTAGCAAAAGTACAGGTCGAAAAGCTTGATAAGTATCAGCTCATAAGCAAAGCAACAACTCAGGCAGAAAATTACTGAGCTATGTACTTGAACCTACCCTTAAGTCATCATCGATTAATCTTTTAACATCCTGAAAGCTAAAGTCAGAACTCTTATTTAGCAGAAACGTGAACCTACATTTCATCATCGTTTACCTTGTCCAATGCATCTGGCCTATTTCTATTAAACTGTGAAAAGTGAAACAAACCTTGTAGTATTACTCCCAACATTTCGGTTACGCATGCGTCTGGCATTTGCATCTCCTATGCGCCTCTCAGATGGGTCTCGACCTGTTATCCTTTTGATATCATCATCTACTATTTTTAATTTCTCCTTTGCAAACTCCAAGTCCTTTTTTAGAGCGTCGATAGAATCAACGGCTGTCATTTCGCGAAGCGCGACGTTTCTTTTCACCCGGTCTTCATTTACAACAACTGACAACTTAACACCGTTCACTTTTCAATTACATTTCAGATTTATTGGTTGAGGATAGGAGGCTTGGAGCCTATGTTAATCCTTTTCTGGTAAATTTCTGTGGTTGCCCAGACCCTTCTTGAATGAATCAGTTGAGGTTGTAGACACCACTTCTTCTGGGAGTTGGTTCCAAGAGTTTGTGACTCGGTGTGAGAACCAGTACTCAACAGCAATATGATTTCTTCTTGGCTTTTGAACTCTCACGCTATGTAGTCTAAGGTGTTCCGACCTGGTTGGAAGGAAAATAGAGAATAAGTCAGGTCCGTAGCCATTATTTAAAATTCTAAACACTGTGATTAAATCTCCTCTCTATCTACGGTATGACAAGGGGAAGAGATTTAAACCGTCTAGTCTTTCCTCGTATGATAAGTTAGCCATGCCGTGAACCATACACGTTACCTTCCTTTGAACCCTTCCTAGAATGTGAGTCCTCTTTTAGACAAGGACTGGTGGCCTGGATGCAGTTTTCCAGTCTTGACCTCACCAGAGATGTATTTAAGGAGGTGAAAATATCTCTGGTTATTCTAGTAAAGGCTCTGCAAATTGCCCATTAGAACCTAAAAATACACGCAGCCACCACTCAACAGTGTGCTGTAGTTTTCAAGTCGTGGCTAACTATGACACCTAAGTCCAAGTGAATCGGAACTGAAGGAAGTGTTATTCCCTCTAGTTCGTAGGAGCTCGTGCTTGCTTGTCCAATGCGTATGGTTGCGTATTTTGCCACATTTATCGGGAGCACCCGTGGTTTAGATGTGAATCACGATTAACACTTCCAGTCTAAGAAAACTACTCTTTCCGAATTTTGCCATCTTTCCCTAGGAAGTGAGTTCTTCATATAAAATTCAGCTTTCACGGTACAGATCAATTTAGGCATATACGCATTGTAATCTCAATGTCTAAGTAAAATAGTCGGTCTGATAAGGAAAGCACATTTAAGTTGTCTCCTGAACTCCATGTAGACAAACTGACTACTGTGATTGCCTGCAATTTGGATTTGACAAACGTTTTATTTGGTATTCTCGTTATTATGAAGCTTTATTTTACATTCACTATCATAAAATAACGGTGTTGAAGGTAGTTGATGATCTTCACCCGGATTATAAAATCTGACGAGTGGCTGTACCATCCAGTGGTGTTTGAACACGTGTCCCCGGCTTCTGAGGATCTGGTGGATTTGAACCTCGATGACGTGGTGGTCCACATGAAGGAAGAGAGAGCTACTGTCACTGTATTTGAAGATTGAACGATCAATTCATGGTTGTTTGCTCAAACCCAACTCTATATTTTGGCTGGAGGCATCGATACTGCAGTCATCTTTCCATCGTTCACTGTTCGTCGGAGAGCGAAGAAAAATTATCGGAAGTATTATTGTGATTTATTGTTATGACATTTATTCTTAGGCCTTGTGTACAATAACCCAACGGTTGGCTCTGTATTGGTGCAAAAATAAATGTTTCGTGGGTCACCAATTTGTGTTCTGGCTTTGTTTGCGTTGGCTATTGGGCGTGGTTCCTGAAAGCCTACCAAGGACAGTGTGAAGTCCAGTGTATTTAGACCTGGACATTTGACAATTTTTGGTAGACTCCTGCAGTTATTCGTCGTATTTGTTGGATATTCGTCTTTCCTCGCATCTGCAAGTCTACTTCGGACAAGTGTTATCTAGAACTTTTCTGGGTCGTTTGCTCAAGTTCAATAATACCTGGGACAAAGAAAGGATAAAGCATTTTGAAAGCAGACGGGAAAGTAAGTAATGATGAGTTGCCTGTTATGTGTAAAGATGTGTATGATACGATTGATGTCCATGTTTCGCCGTCTAGTGATAATAGAGGTTTTAAAATTCCTAAATTTTAACCTCGGTACTTTGATGGAAACCCAGCCGACTACCCACAGTTTTCAGTCTGAGGTCATGTTAAGTGGTTTTGCATTAAATGACGAAATGAAGTTGATGTATTTGTTGAGGTATTGCACTGGTGTTGCTGCGAGAGCCATGCAGTTTATGTCCCCGAACGAAGGATATACAGAAGCTATGAGAATACTACGTCAAAGTTTTGGAAAGCCATTTATGATAACCCCTAGTATTTTTGAGACAGTGTAAGGTAACGGATCACAGTTAAACGATAATTTAGAGGAACTTCGCAGAGTTCTTGGACAGTTTAATTGTATATAGAAATACTCTTGTGTCTCTGAATTGCGTAGACGAATTGAATTCAAGTTCCGTGCTTGAGACTGTTGCCAAGAGATTACCGGTTCGTCCGCAAAGAAAGTCCATAAAGGCTAGTTTCCGGCTAGAGTAAGATGGTTTGAAGCCCGGAATCGATGATATTGTGAGACTGGTGAAGGACAGTGTCAGCCCAGCTTTGAGGAAGTTTGCTAGTATACTGCATCCCACCCCTGGAATAGAGAAATCAGAGAGCAAAACTCAATCATTTATGACAAACGTGGTCTCATAGAAGAGGATATCGAGAAAGCTGTATGGTGTGACGGCTTTCATGTGACGTCCCCAACAGATAGGTCACAGGCTGCTAGACAAACACGCCTGTGTTTGCAGGAAATGCATACAAAAGCGAACTACGAAGCAGTGAGCAAGTTTAGTGGTAAGCCATTTTTGAAAAGTGCCACAGACGACACCGCAGTTTGTGCAGAAGAAGAGAGTTACAGTTTCGGAGTCTAGTTCTGACTCCATAAGTTTACAAGTTATCACTAGTTAGAGTAAAGGTATAAAACCTGTAAGGATTTGTAAGGAAAAACCCAAATTGTCTACTGCTGTTATTAAAGAGTTTGAGAATGATAAAGTCGATCATATAGACGGTGGTTAAGTGGATATTTGTGACAAGGGTCATGGTAGAGCAGGTTTTTCTTTGGCCGATCATGATGAGATGAACGGAATGCCTACTTCTGCTGAGTTGAACGAAGGTTCTGTACTACTTGAACGTGAAGTAGAGCTGAAGGCAGATGCGGTTACAGAAGGGGTGGATTCTCGTGAGACCGTCAGTGTAAATAATCAGAGTGTAGCCCAACTATCGACAGATGGTTAGGCTGAACAGGCGCCAATCATAAAAGATGGCAGTGGTGGTAATCCTACGGTCAGAAAACCTTCTATACGTCAAACAACAACAGCTTCTGATGCACCGCTTAGCTCATCAACTTGTATTGCTCAGTTGTCGTCTGTATTTTCATCCACAATGAAAGGGACGTCCATGAACTCAGGTGTCTTATGTCATGACTGTGTTGGTATCAGTTCGTTCAAGTTTCAAATTACTATTTGAATGTTATTATCTTTGGTATAAATTACGCTGTACTCAAGCTTGGTTGGTCAGATACGTCGAATGTTTGTTATTCATATATATTCTACGATATAATTTCACGGGCGTGTCACCAATCAGATTTGAGGATAAAGTTGCTAGAAGGAGGTCAGCAAATGAACCCAACGACGATTTTCCAACTTAGGGCGTCAACCTAAGAAGGGCTGCAGGCGTACTGGTGTAAGACCTGCAATTCCTCAAAAGAATTAAATTGAGACATGATCTGCGAGGCTATGTATACTGTTTGTATATATGTGTCCTGTGTCATCAATTGTTTTCAGATTACCTGTGTTTACTTGTTGTTTTCGTTACTTGTTGTTTTGCATAATTTTGCTAAAATTTTCGTCGTGCTTACTTCTGAAGTTCGTTCGAGTCTTCTACATCCGTGAATGAATTGATTAATGTTAAAGACAGCAGATGGGTCGTACACGACGGCGAGGCTAGTGCTGAGAATGACAAGCAAACGTAGAAAAGGATTAGATGTGGAATCAAAGACTGAGAATCACTGATGTGATTGAGGATGTGGTCCCACACGCCACGGAGCAAGAGGATGGGTACGGCTTCATTAACCGCCAGGATACGTCTACGGACATATTTGTTCACCAGTCTGCTATTACAAGAAATAATCCTGACAAGCTTCAGCGCTCTCTTCAGGAAGGAGAGGAAGTGGAATTCTATGTTGTTGAAGGCGACAAAGGTGACGAAGCATGCGAAGTGACAGGTCCTGGGGGAGAGCCCGTCAAGGTACTGTGAGTATTCAGTGGTAACTTTTTCTAGGGGAGTGTATATGCTGCCGCACGTGGGCGTGGAAGGAGTCCACGTGTGTTCAATGTGCGTGGGAGAGGTCGCGGGATGGGGCCAGGGGGATTCTCCAGTAATCAGGACTTCGGTCCGTATTACAGCCCTCGTGGTCGTGGACGCGGCCGTGGGGGTCCAGATATGGTGAGTTCCGACAAGAAGGCAATTACCTGTATTATTTTGATATTTGCTTAGCCCAACACATCTAACAAGTAGAGTGCCACTTCATCGGTCTTGTACCCTTTCGTTAAAAGAGCCTCAATAATTGATGTCGATTGAACAGGGTTGTAAGTTATTCACTGTGACCGAGATAGAGATATGAGGTGAATCAGAATGGTCTCAGTCAGTACGAGTTTAAGACGGAAGATCTGACTAGCTGTTGAAACTCAGCAATGACGGTTTGCGTTAGTTATATATCTCAGTCATCCGTGATTGGAGTTGTGCTAATGCGACTTGTACTTGCACACCGCTGAGAGAAGTATTTCTTTGAAATCTCGACCGGTTGTCGCTTATGTGAAAAGGTTTCAGGTGGAAAGTTGCACTTCATTTGTCCGGAAAACTCGTTTCTGGAGTGAGGACATCGTAGTTGACTACTCATTATTTATTTAATTTATTTTTTATATTACATCTTGATTCCACACCGCAGATTTTTGGTACAGGCATGGAACTTTCAGCATGAGATATCGGCAGCCCAAATCTTGAAGGCCGACCGTAGATATCAGGTGCGCGTCAGCAGGGGATCGAAACCAGGACCATGCACATGGTCGGCGAGAATCCTAACCCCAGTGCCACCACTAAACATGGAAGCGTCCTAACTTGAACCGGATTTGTATCCTGGAACCTGCTATGCTACTGTCAAGTGCCCTCCCTGTT